CAAACACACACACACGCCCTACATACAAATGTGGACAGAGAACAGTAGACGACACAGACCCCAAATAATAATAATAATAATAATCACAACAACAACAGTCCCCACTGCTCACGGACCCCGGAGTCCTCCAGAGCCGGTCCGTGACAACTAAGAAACTTGAAGAAGAGCAGTGGAGTAACATTTGGGGTGGAAATGCTCAAAATGTTACACATAATGTGAATGCAGACCAGCCAGGGGAGTGGAGAGTGAAGGATGATCGGCTAGCTACCATGCAGACGGTAGCTGGGTGTTTCTCTGGCTGCACGACTCTTTGCTAATTCATAAAAAGTTACACCCAGTAGCAAGAAAGTGCAGGAACAAACTAGCATAAGCATTTGGGGCACCTTTTATGTTATATTCATAGGTCTTTTTCATTTTTCAGTAATGTGTGTTGCTCAAGTAAGAGTCAGGGTATTTTCTCTCTTAAGAGAAGTCACATGTTAGAAGTCAAAGGAGCTTGCAAAGAAAAACGTCTGGACTTCTTTAATTTGCTTGAAGACGTTTCATTTTGGAAAAATTATGGAAAAAGCAAATTAAATAACTTGGTTCTCGAAGTCTAAATCGCTTGAATCGCTCTTAGGTGTTTTCAGCCATTCAAAGAAAATGAATAACGTGAAATGAAAAGATTATCAAACTAGAGAGCGGACTACAGACAATTCTCAAAACAGCACACTTTAAAAATAATCTATTTTTGTTGTGCTCTATGATCAAAAAACTGTTTTTGCATAATATAATTACACACACTGAGTTAGTACTCAAAGGCATTTGAAATATCAAATATTAACACCCTGGCAGCTGTGATCCCTAATTGACAACTTTCCGGCCAATCGGAAAGAAGCCTCCTGCCAGGCTGTGTTAATATAGCTGTCTAGAATAAAAGCAGTGTGTCTCACTAATTAACAGCAGTTTGAAATTAAGGGCAGCTGAGTAGGTTTTGCAGTCAAGCCTTAAGGGCACCTTCTCCATTGCCTTAGTAGTAACAGTCTGACAGGTAGCTGCTGGGGTTATGAATTATATAGCAGTTCCTGCAGGGACATGAAGATTGAGGATCCCTGTGAATATGATGGATAGATCGGAAGAGTATCTTTGTTGGATAAGATTTCTTTTGAGGCATACTCTCACTGAGATTGTTACAGCCTTTATTACCAATGGCATGTAATAAGACAGAGGTGTTTCTTGGCCAGCAAAAAGAAAAAAGCTATATTTTCTTTTTGCTGGCCAAGAAACAACAATTGAAGACAGTGACGACTTATTTGGTTCTAAAGAGAGAGCACCTTTATATTTGGAGTATTTCTATTTTAAGAAACCTTCCA